CCGGTGGCTCCACTAAAAAAGCGAATCAGTGGGAATAGGTTTTGGACCAAGGCCTGCATATTTGTTCGGTCATGAATAGTTATGTCCTTGGTTTCCCTTTTAATATTAGTATAGATTAAACTCAAAGCTTTGTAAAAGGGAGAATTAACACATTTATTTTGATTATTATAAAATTTAGCGTTCAAAAAGAAAAATCGTGTGTTTGACAAAAAAATTGTTTGATGAGCTGAATTTTGAAGCTCCTAGACGAGCTCTAAATATGATAAATCATTGGTCCTTATTGTCAGTCTGAAATCTGAAATAAATTTGTTAATTTTTCAGAAAACACCAAATAATTGTATAATAAGCCCTCCAAATATATCAAAAAAGTAATTAAATCCCCAAAGTAAAGAAACACCCAATTAACACCTTGAACTTTATATAAACGCTCGATTGTACTACGTATAATTTAGCGGGTTAACATTAGGTTAGCCAGTTACTAAAATCCATGTGGTGGCACACGTGTCAACATTTACTTCCGTGCTCCCTATTCCCTTCTTCTTTCTTGTGCCACCTCACCAACCCAAAATAATGAGTGTTTTTTTTCTTTTTTCATTCTTTCTCCAACCCGACCTCCTCTCCAGTTCTGTTTTCTTCTATCCACGTCTCTCGTATGTGTTTCTTTATCTTTTTTTTACTTCCTGCTTGCCTTTAGGCATGGCAATGGGTCGGGGCGGTACTGCAAGACCCGGACCCGCCCCGTGGCTTGGCGGGGCGGGTCCGCCCCCGCCCCATGACCTTTACGGGTCCAAACTTGTTGACCCATGACCCGCCCTATGCGGGGCGGGTCCGCCCCGCCCCGCCGTAACCTAATTAGCTAGTACTCCGTATGTATTTTTATTTGTGAGAAGTTGTTACCAATTGAATCTACATAAAGTTTATCTCTAAATAATAATTAAAAATTAATATATTAAATCAATTCATGATACGCTAAAAATTTCAAAAGTTAAGGAAAAATTACCCAGACTTGAATAGTTAATCTACTTAATTGTATTAATTATTGAATATATGTATTAAAATGCTATATATATAAAGAAGACATTGATAATCCGCCGTTCATGTCATTCTAATATATACGGAGTATACACACACACACACACACACACACACACATATATATATTAATATACGGAGTATTATAAGATCAAAGAATTTATTATTTATTGTATAAACACATATGTATGTTGAAGTATATTTGTAGAATAATTTAAGAAAAAGTATATATACTTATATATTGAGCGGGTCGGGCCGGGGCGGCATGGGTCAATACTAATACCCGGACCCGTCCCATTGTATAGGCGGGGTGGGGCGGACCCGTCCCATTTGCAAGACGGGCCGGGCCGGACCCACCCCAAATGTCTTGGGCCAGGGCGGATCATTGCGGGTCAGGTTTTTTTTTACATCCCTACTACTTGCCTTCTGATATTTTCTTCCTTATGCAGTTATGCTCAGTCAGCTCACAAAAGTTCCGAAAATGGGGATCATGAGTAAGGGGCTGCGTGCAGGGGTTTCCCGACTGGGATACGGCTAATCGCCGGTGCATCATTCGATTCATTATTTTAACTAATATATTTATGTGAAACTTAATAAATTTATACTTTTATGATAATATTTTTAACAAGGAATAGATTCATATCATTTTCATATTATCAATATTACCGTGTATAAATATATAACTAGTGTTGTACCCGGGCGTTGCCCCGGGCGGAGGTTGTGAATGTTTGAGTACTTTGTAAAATATATATTTCATAAAATATATGAATAATTAATCATTTTACTTCAAATAAATTTTTGTTGGTTGTGAATAATAATTTAATTAAAGCGAATATATTAAAAAGATACATTATAATGTAACACCGCACATACCAAATATCGCATTGTTAGGCTTAAATTACGTAACCTCTTTATAAACAACATTCACCTTCTTGGTGAATAATTTTGTTTCCTTTGAACATATGAATATATTAAGATATCTTTTCTCATTACTCTTGGTATAGCAATATACAATTGGTTATTAATGAAACTTGTCTCTCGAGGTATAAATCAAATTTTATGTGATAACATTTAGTCTTGACTTTTGTTGATTGTCACTGCAAAGATTACCATCACACGAAATTGCTTTATTCGGAAATTAAATAAAGTTGTCATGTGGTGACAAAGAGATTTTCAATATGTAAACTTTATTTTTCATTATTTTTTGAATTATGATTTGCCATACTTGTTTTTCAAACTGGTTATGACTAATAATAATTACTTGCACTATGCATTTTCTAAATTTGAATTTTTAATTTGAAATTCTCAATTCGTGATTAAATTTTTCTCCTACTTTAAGCGTTTAAGGGTGATTTAAAAAGTAGTTTTATCAGTAAATTAAAAATGCAAAATTTTAAAATAAGTAGGAAAATTACATCAATTAGTTTTCATTGATATATCCAATGTTAAAAATAGACGGACATTTTCATCGCATATTTTTCAACATAAACTATTGTTTAAATTGAGTATCATATAAGGAAAACTAATCATTATACTCTTACTACTAAATACTCCATACTAAATAACTACGGAGTATAAAACTCACTTTATTTTTTGAAAATTCAATTTATTCTTTTTATATGTTTCTTTTTGTTTTTAAACAAAAAACTATTATTATTAAAAGAAACCTAGTATTTTATAATAGAAAATTTATACTGTGCATATGAATAACAGTGTATAAATATGAAATAAAATTAATAAGTATTAGTTCTTACATATTATTTGGTCGTCCGTGCAACGCATGAACTTGACTTGACATATAGTATTAGTATATATAGTGAAAAGGAATATGAACTATACAAAGCATTTCAAATCTATGTATTTTATTGGAATAAATTATATAAAGTATTTCAAAAAAATGAATGAAAGTTTTAAAAATTATGCATGATTTTTTAGAATCAATTGATAAAGCGTTATAAAATATGGAATGAAATCCAATATTATATATCATTTTTGCTCTCTAAATGGAATGATTGTATTATTTGTAGTTTATTTGGAAATTGATGCTCCATAATAGAGTAATATTCCAGTCAGGACATCTTGATCGGAACTGCCATCCAGACGCCACAATTTGAGACAGTTCCGAGTGATTTTTTCTTGATGAAATTACGTAAGCATATTCTAGATTATATCTACAAACTTTCATCTTAACATTCGACCGGGAAGTCAAATAAAAATATTATTGAAAAACACTGCACCAAAATATTTATATACACAATGCAGTATTTTTAATAATTTGTTTATCTGACTTCCTAATCGATTTTAAGGTCAAATTTTGTGAACATAATTTAAACCTTATAAAGAACACGCTAAAAAAAATCAAAAAAACCATCGAGAACAATCTCAAATCGCGGCGGCTAGACGGCAGTCCTCCTCCATAATTCTGATGGTGAAATTTTCCACTTCGTAATTTAGATAAATACCATGAATTTAGGACTTTATTGCAGTTAATTTAATGAATATACACTATTTGGATTCAATAGTAATCAATTGAGTAAATACTATGAATTTAGCACTTCATTGCAATAATTAATAACTACGTAGTATTTACTAATTGGTCTCAATAGCAATTAATTGAAAATTCAATTTCAATTAGAAGGTTGTGCTTTATTATTAAGTAAGTAGATTAAATTGGCCAGTCTAGTGCCAATAAGGATGTTTTTTACTTGGACTGTAATATGTCTCATACCAGAGCAGACCAGACCAGATCAGATTTGGATAGTTATAGAAACAAAAAGATATCAGACCATACCAAGTCAGACCAGATCAGACCAGATCAGACCAGTAAATTACAGTCCAAATAAAAACATCCTAATACAACATTTGCGTTCTGCGGCTCACTCCATTAATTGACAATCACATCTAAGGTACTCGTATATGATATCCGTGATTTACTACGAAAATGAAAGGATTTAAGTATGTTTTATGGTTAGTATGTGGGATGTAATAAACGTAAGCCACATTAATTTCCATATTAGTTTTGTACTTAATAGCAATTATTTAATTAATCCATTGTACTCAATAGCAATTTATTAATTGAACTCAATAGCAATTATTTTACAATTCAATTTCAATTAGAAGATTGCGCTTTATTTATAAGTAAGTAGATTGGTCGAAGTTTAACATGACTGACTTGAAAAGTCAAATATGAATAGATAAAAAGGGATGGAGTACAAAAGTAAAATACTAATAAGTTAAAAATGTAAAAAATGAAAAATAATTCGAAAAAGGTAAAGTATAAATACGTTTTTTACACAAAAAAAGGAAACTTGTTTATTAATGATAAAAGTAACCAGATATAAAGCAATATAATTGAAAGATAATTGAAAGAAAACAAATTGAAAGAAAATTGAAAGAAAACAAATTGTCCAAACTAGAAAGAAAACAAATTAGAAAACAAATTGTCCAAAGTAGAAAGAAAACAAATTAAATCAAGAATTTCGGCTTCACCAGCCAGTCAGCCACCGGAAAGGGAGAATTGGTTTGAATAACAACCAACAAAGGAAACTCAGCCGAACAGAAAATTTCTGAATCACCAGTTTGACCAGCCACCGAAAAGGAGATCCACTTGAGCTTGTTCTTCTTCCTAGAGCGAGACGGTGGTTCAGGTGGAGGACGAGTAATTGAAGTCTCGGAATAACAATGTTAAAAAGTTTTGCCAGCCAATAACAACGAAAATTCCCCAGATCGATTACACCGATGAGGAACACACAATCTCTAGACATTGCTAGGAGAATAACACATTATACGCTCACATGAAGTGGACAAAACTCTCGGCCAACGAGAAAGCCGGAACAAAACTCTAAAAAAAAAGAGCGGAAGCATTGAAAAACCTTTAATTTGATCTTTCATTGTCTAGAGAATGTCACGATCTTCCAAGACTATTTCTGATTGAAGAAGAGAAGGCTAAAGATCAAATTTGGAGAAGGCCCGAGATGATCGCCTAGGGTTTTTCCTAGAGGCAACTCTTCTTACGAGTCGCAACACTCCTTTATACAAACCGGCTACCAATTTGTAAAGTATAAATACGTTGAACCAGGGCCAGTTCTGACAATTTATAGGCTCGGGACAAAAGATAAAACATAGGCCCCTAATTAGATACTACGTATGTCGTAAGAATGCATTTCAAAAGTTTAATTGTCAAACATAAAATTCATTACACAAGTAAATGTTTTTGTCCATAGAACTATATGTATCATAAGCCATACAAAACAATTTTTAGGCATTCTTAGAAACAATTTTTAGGCATTCTTAGAAACAGTTTTTGAATTGCCCAGTTGTGAAGAACATATGGCAGGGGATGGGGCTGCCGTTAGTGACAGAGGGGGAGGGGCTAATGGTTTGGCTCCAGAAAGCTTTTACCTCAGTGGCAGTAGAAGATATTTGCAGGCTAATTATGGCTCTTTGGGCTATTTGGAAGGGCAGAAATGAGATAGTATGGAAGGAAGGCTTTTTTTGCTTGGCAAGTGTGAAACGTGTTGCTGCTACCACATTAGAGAGCTGGAGGAAAGCCCAGGAGGCTAGCAGCAGACTGAGGTGTAATACCTCACCTCAAGGAGTACACCGTTGGCAGAAACCGGAGATGGATTGGATAAAAATCAATGTAGATGCGGCTAGTAATGTTAGAAGCGGAAAGTGGGCATGGGCATGTGTTGGAAGAGATAGCAATGGTAACTTTCTGGGAGCTATTAGTCGAGTTGTAAAAGCCATTTGGTCACCGGTAGAGGCAGAGGCAATCGGCGTCAAAGAAGCTATTATTTGGGCAATTAAAATGGGTTGGCAAAAGGTGGTGATCGAATCGGATGCCGAGTTGGTGGTAGCAGGTGTTCAAGGGGAGGAATGTGCTTCTGCCGTTGGAGTTATCTTCGAAGACATCAATTTTTTGTTAAAAAGTAATGACAATTTTAAAATTGTTTGGTGTAGACGGCCGGCGAATCAGGTAGCTCATTGTATTGCTAGAGCTGCTCTTTCTATGTCTGGTAGTGAAGTTAGTTTCTCTTCTCCTCCTAACTTCATTGTAAGCCATTTGGCGAATGATCTTTTAATATAGTGGGGTGTTTTTTTCTTCAAAAAAAAAAAGAAACAAAATTGTCAATAATACTATCATTTTTCGATTCTCGACTTCTGTGAGAAAGGTAGAAAGTCATCTAACCGTGTTTCGTGTGTAGCTCTGCCGTTGTGGCTAAGTCTACGGATATGAGGATTGAGGGATATCTTTTACGGATTATTAGATCGAGTATAGGGAAATGATCTGATCAGGGACGTCTAACAAAATGTCCTGCACAAAGTACAAAAAAAGTCCATTTGAGGAGCTTCAAGATCGATTTTTTTGATAAGATTTTGTGAGGGTGTTCTTCATAAAAATCAGATTATTTACACAAAATTTCAGTTTCGAATTCAATTGGGATGTTAGTTAAATAAATTATTGAAAAACATTGCGCTTTTTAAACATATATATAAAGCACACTATTTTACAATAATTTATTTAACAGATTACCCAATTGAATTTTAAACTGAAACTTTGTGGACGTAATCTACACTAATGACAAAATATGCTCACAAACTTTCATAAAAAAATATCATCTGAAAGCACCTCAAATGGGTTTGGTCGTACACAACTCCCGATCAAGCGCGTCTAAGGTGAATATATATACACACACACACATACACTATTACTAAATAATTTATGGGCCTCTCTTCCTGGTGGGCTCTGGGCAGCCGCCCAACCTGCCCCTATATCAGGATCGGCCTTGTGTTATTTTGCAATTTATGATTCTTTTGTTTTAAGTTCAACTTTTTTCTATTTTTCATATATTTTGTTTTATATTTTGATTATATAAAGAGAAAATTGATTTTTATTTTAAGGTTACGTTATTATTTAGATATTTTGACATATTAAAGATCTTTTTACACGTGTACTTTTATATTCTTAAATTCTTATAGTTGTTTATGAATTTTACCAAGCTTCCGAAAATCGAAAAGTGACCTATTGTAGAAGTTCGCCAATCTGTAAAATGGTTGGACTGATTCTTTTGAGAAAATTATTGAAATAGAAACGAAAACATTGTCAAACAAAATATAAATATTATGTTTTTATTTTTCAATAAGAGTAACTATTATGAATGTTTTAAAATATTATTGTGTTTAAAGCCTAATAATAATGTGACATTAATTATTTCTATTTAAAAAACAAGAAACATAATGGTCATATTGTAAATTTCGAAAAATTTTCATGCACTACACCTACTTTTTTTTTCACATTTTATACGGAGTATTGAACTCACATTGTTTTTTGTTGTTGGAAGAACTCACATTGTTTTACTTTCTCTAAAATGAAATGTTTGAATATTTAAAACTTAGAGGTCGTTTGGAACACTCCTTTTCGACTTATGAGCCAATATTTTCACTAAAACAAATCTTTTGCTTTCACGCGCTAAATTGTGTAATAAACAGAAAATGTAAGGTTGTAGGTAGTTTTCTGACTATATTGACTGAAGCTATTGTAGTCTGTAGATAATCATTTTAGCTATTTTTACATACAATTTTTTCTTTATTTTATTAATAAAATATATTTTATAAATAATTTTTTCCAAAAACGACTAAATCAACAAAAACGACTAAATCAGCAAAAACGACTAAATTTGAGGAGAAATAGTCAGTTTTTTTTAGAAATAAATTTTCGTGAAAAGTGGGGACGATTATTGAGGTAGAGAAAGAATATTCTCAAGAATATTAGTCAACATGTGTCAAAAAATGAATATTGTAGTCAACGCCCCTGTTCCAGAACTTCAAATCTTGTCTCTTTTGCTCCCACTTGTCTCTGGAATTTTTGTTTCAGAGCTTATTTTTTCGCGAGACTTCCCAGTCGTCGTCCCAGTAGAATTTTCGCACTATTCCATCCTCTTCAGTCTTCACTAGCTTTCAACATTTTCTCAGGCTAGAACTCCCCTCTTCGTTTATCAGGTATATTTATAGAACTTCTTTTCAATTCGTTGCGCTAATTTTTCCCAAACTAAAATTGAAGAGGGGCAAAAACCCCATTTCTCGAGCTTTACTCTTAAGCTGATTGAAAACAGTCCCACTCAAGAAGCTGAATATTTGATTTTTGGTCCACTTTAGGAGGGTTAGAAAAGAAAGCAGAGATTTTTGAAGGATATGAAGATGAAGGCTGCTTGGTAGAAGAAGCAGATGTCATTTGCCTGCTGCCTGCCAATTGTTGAATGTGTGTACTGTTTGGGCTGCGCCCGTTGGGCCTGGAAGAAGTTCCTTTACACAGCAGGCCGGGAAAGCGAAAGCTGGGCCCTCTCTTCTGCCGGTGAGTTCGAGCCCATTCCCCGGCTTTGCCGGTATATTCTCTCCGTCTACGAAGACGATCTCGGAAACCCTCTCTGGGCTCCTCCGGGAGGATATGGCGTTGACCTTGACTCCATAGTCGCCCGGAGAAGCTACGATGACACTCAAGGTAAAGTAGCTCCGTACATGATATATCTCGATCACGAGAATGGAGAAATCGTCGTCGCCATTAGAGGTCTTAATTTGGGCAAGGAGAGCGACTATCTCGTCCTGCTCGATGACAAATTAGGGCAGGCTGAATTTGACGGCGGGTTCGTTCATAACGGGCTGTTGAAGTCGGCTCAATGGGTTGTGGAGAAGGATTCGAAGCTTTTGGGGGAACTAATTGTGAGGTTTCCGAACTACGCCTTGACTTTGGCCGGGCACTCTTTAGGGGCAGGCGTGGTGACCATGCTGGCAATGTTGGCTGTGAAGAACAGGGAGCGGCTTGGCTACATAGAGAGAAGAAGGATCAGATGCTTCGCTATCGCTCCTGCAAGGTGTGTGTCCCTAAATTTGGCTGTCAGATATGCCGACATTATCAGTTCTGTTGTATTGCAGGTATTTCCTTTCAACCATGCTTCCTGTACACGCTACTTGTACACAGGCATTTTACACTCCGATCAAATGTCTATGCACAAACAATTTGACCTGTGCTTAAAATGCCTTGTATAATTTGGCTTGTACAAACCACATTTTCCATTTCCTTTACACTTTGCTCCTATGGTTTTATGGCCAGCTCTCGCTGTGAATAATGATTAATGTATGGTGATAACTGATCAGGATGATTTCTTACCTCGGACAACTGTAGGACAGGACAATGCATTCAAGTCACTTTTCTGGTATATAAAAAACATAAATGTCCTTCCTTGCCTTCTCTTACTTTGACTTGATATTTTACCTGATTATTAAAAGAACTCTCATGTGAAAGTGCCTCTGCTCCTTTTATTTTCGAGTCATTGTTTTTGCACATTGGGATTAAAGATAGAAGTGTCACAGAAACATATAATGCCTTTATCTTAGAGCTGATTAAACTCAAACGGGTAATCTATCCAATTAAGGCTAAAGGAACACACATATTTCAAAATGGTTATGCTCTACTAAATCATCATCTTGTAAGCATGTTAAATCATCCCACACTTAACAAATGTAAATATACAAAAATGTATGGTGATAACTGATCAGGATTGTTTCTTACCTCGGACAACTGTAGGACAGGATAGAGCGTTCAAGTCACTTTTCTGGTACATATAAAACATTGGAGTTCTTGCCTTGTTTTACTATTACTTGATATTTGACCTGATTAGAGCCAATTTAACTTTAATAACTCTATATGATGTAAGTCATATGACCTCATGAATCATCTTGTAAGCATGTTAAGCATGAATCACATCACACTTAACAAATGTAAAGATATAAAAATAAAAATTTTATTGATATCTATTTTTTGAAATTATACTTGTCAATGTCCTTCATTACTCTATCATATTTGCTTAAAAGTAGGCATAGATACAAGTATACAACGGAATCCAAAAACATGGAAGTTGGTGATACTGAATAACAACCATCTTTTTGAGCTTTTTTTTTTCTTCATTTTGTATTATTGTTATGTTTTTTAAGACAGTGTCTAGTACAATTAGTACTCTGAAGATACCTGCATCATCCTTAAAAAATATTTAGCAGTATGTCCAGAAAGGTATTTGGCTCTATTCTCGCCCACTAATTAATATCCAATAACTTCTGATAGTTTACCATGTGTACTCTGCATAATGTGCTTGAAAGACACGTTCACTATGGAGGAGAAGAAGCTTAAAGATCCTAGACGCCTCTACATACCTGGTCGTCTTTATCACATTATTGCCAGAAAACGGTTCAGGTTGGTGCCTCCTTTATCCTTTGGTAAACTAAAGAAAAAATAATCTCCTGTCAAAGGGAGGACATTATTTACTTTTCCTGGTACCTGATTAGTATAGCAGAAGATAAGTGAAAAAATATTGAAAAGGGGGAAAAAGCCCCTGAGATGTTATTTGTCACAGGTATTAGATAAGACATGTGACGTGTGATATCAAAAGACCAAAATAAGTTTTGACAGTCTTGACCAACTTCACAAAGGTCAAAATGGAAAACATAAGAAAGAAGCAAAGATCACGAAAATGAAGTGAAAACCAGTGAAATCCTATTCTAAACTTTATATTCAATGCCCATTTTTTCAGTGAAAGTATGATCATTTTTAGGTAAATCAGGCTTAAGAATGGTTAACTGTTTTATTGAGATTAGCTTCTTTCATTACAGAACATGAACAAATTTATTAGTATGTCTAACCATGTGAACAACTTGAACTCCCTACCCTAGAAGCATCCTATGATTTAAACATAGGTATTCTGAGTCTGCCAATCACCACGCATAACCGTACTATGAATTCAAGTGACAGCTTTCTCTCAATTTGAAAAAAAACTCATATTTGAAACAGCTGCTTCTACTGCAAACCATGGCAGTCAAACTCGAGATCCTACATAGGGTTGGAAGGAGCCTTAAAGATCGTAAATCGTAGGATCCTACAACACACACACACACACATATTTCGGTGTAAAGTTTAGGTACTAGATATGAATGGAAAGATAATTTATAATATAACAATGGAAATATTATTAGTTTAAAGCAACTAACTCCAAACCATATAATCTGTTTTAATATAATACTATAATGGAACACTCTAGTAATAACATTAGAGTTTTAACTGCAATAAAAAAATGAAAAACATTACTAAAAAATGACCTGGAGGTTGACACAGAAGCTAACAACAGATGAAGAGATCCGGGGGTCAACGACTCGATAGAAAATTGCAGAAGGTATGGAATGATGAAGAGACAATTGCAGCCGGACAGGGGGATTCATAGGTGTTCAGATGCTTCTCGTTGCTGAGAACTGCAATATATTGGATTATTTCCGTAAGTTATGAAGCAGCGAACCTGTTGTTTCAACTTTCCGTATGTTTCTCCAAGTCAATACTCGGAATAATTTTTCCATACGTTTCCTAAAAGTCGGAAGTTTTTCAATATTTCCAGCAACCTTAAAGAACTAATGGTGATTCATCTGCAATTCTACGCTCCTTACGAGTTAACATGATGATCCCAGCAGTTCTTATCATTCTGCGATCTTCAGTAGAAACGGGATCGTAAGAGCTCCTGGGAATTGTATAATTGTAAGATCCTTGGAGCCAACTCATGTTTTTTACTACCATGCTGCAAACGTAGATTTCCATTTTAATAGCTAGAAATTCAGAACCAAGCCTCACGAAAATCCCAGTTCTCCTTTATGATGAATATGCTGCATCCAATAGCAGAACTATCTTTTTTAACACTGGCTTTATTTTCTATGAAACCTGCTATTAAATTCGTTTTATACGAGTATTTGAAAGGGGGTAGATGCTATCAAATTCAGAGAATTGACCCCAAGTTAGGATTGTTAAAGTATAAAAATATAAACTCAGAACCATATGGCATCACAATCATAGGAATTAGGCTAGGGTGTCTCAACAATGAACAAACTTCACGATTTGTTTGCTTGAACGAGTCAACAACTTGTGGGTCATGTTAAGCATCCCCACCATCAAAATGTAAAAATACAACAACCTCTCATATAAGACATTCAACTACTCATTCAATCAGTTTGACATGTTAGGTATGAAACTTCTAGAGTTCTAGTGTCAAATGATGTGATGCAAAACTCTAGTGTAAAGAAATTTTGTTCTCATCAGACTTACTGCATGCAGCTCCGCGGAGATACCACCTGTTGTCAGGACGTGCATACCTGTGGATGGCCGGTTTGAGCACATTGTTCTCTCTTGTAACATGATGACTGATCATGCAATTATTCGTATATTGGCTGAAGCACAAAGGACACTTGATGTGAGTCTTTAATTTCTTTCAGAAAAAGAAAGGATGCTTGTTGATAAAAACTGTGGACAAAACGATTCTACCAATTCCATAATCATTGGTCTTCACATGTCAATTTACTTCATTTTCTTGTTGGTACAGACAATGTTGGAGAGAGAAAATGCAATGTCTATTCCCATGCCACAGAGAATGGAGCGACAGGCATCTCTTGCAAGAGAGCATATGGAGGAACACAAGGCAGCATTAAAGAGGGCAGTCGCACTGAATGTTCCCCATGCGCATTCACCGTCTTGTTATGGTACTTTTCATGAACTTGGACAATGAGAGGATTCTGGCATATCTCAGTAGTTACTAGTTGGATGATTTGGCCTGAAGCTTTGCTGAGATGGTAGACTGGCAAAAATGGTATTAGAAGTCCATATACCCCTTGGACTATAGAAGAGCATGATCATAGCCAGGGATGGATTTAGGGGGGGGCGCGGGGGGGGGGGGGGGGGGCGACCGCCCCCCTTGGACATTCAATTTTTTTACCATATATGTAATATTTTCATAAAACTTTCATAATTTAATTAGATTCGCCCCCCTTAGCTTTTTTAATTTTCAAAATTAGTATATAGTCTTACATAATGTAATACTTAATTGGAGATTTAAAAGAAGAAACATCTAAAATAATTTACATAACTTAAACAAATAAACAATAGAGTAACTCGTTATTTAAGATTTAGGATACTTATTATATAAGAATTCATAGTTTTGTAATGTTTAATTATCTTTATTAGATAACAAGTACTAGATTTTGTAAAACATATATTAAACAATATTAAATACCAGACACACTAATTACACAACTTTTAGATCACGTGAAATGAATCCAAAATATAAATATTTATAGACATTAGATTACATAATTCATTTACTTCTTGCTTTCTAAAAATAATTTATTGCATGGATAATAAACTTTAAATTATTATAGAATTAATAAAAATATTAAAATATAATATGCACCATATGTGTGTGTGTATGTGGTGCATATTATTCTAAAAATAACAATCCCATACATACTAGTATACTACTATTGTAATATTAAGAAAACTTCTCATGAGTCATGACTCACGAACACCCCCATTGGTGGACAAAAATCACAATTCAATAACCGATTCATGAGGTTAAACAATGTAGAAGTTATTAAAAATGTATTGGTTGATGTTTTTGTCATCGTCTAAATTTAGAATGTAATAGATTTAAATGCCGCTCGGGATGTGCATGTATTAATGTAATTTTTTGAATAAAAATAGACGCATAGCTTTACAGCAACGAAAAAATTTCGCTCCGCTACACTGGGGGAAAAATTTCACCCCCGCTACACTAACAAAAAAAATTCACCCCCTACACTAGCGAAAATTTTCGCCCCCTTGACTCAGAATCCTGGATCCGTCCCTGATCATAGCTAAATATGTTTGTAATTACTCACTCCATTCTATAGTGCTACATTTGTGTTACAAACAATTTTAAGAAAATAAGTGTTAAATTTCAATTATAGCACTCGTCCCCTCAAAGTAAACGATAATATTGGAGATGTAATGTCAAAAAGAGAACAGAAATTCGAAAGAATTGTAGAGTTCAAATTTGAGAAGGGATTTGAGAATTCAGAAAATAATGATAGTGTGATGAAAAAATGTCACTTTATGTTTTGAATGCAAACCATAATTATATACCTCACTCGTCTCAGAATGATTTGTAAAGTCAACTTTTTTTTTATCAATATAGATTTTGCAACTTTGCAACACTTTCAATATAGTTTTCAAATATATAAACTTTAATTAATGAAATTGATTTAACTATCCATAAGGAAGATTTATATTTATTGTCAATCCATGTGAGATAGTGACCGCAAATTGCAATTCATTTGGGACAAAGGAAATACGGTTAAGTTTTCATCTCGCCATTGTACCGAGCCCAAGGGACCAAAATTTTTCTTTCAAGTGGTGAAGAACTTAGACCTGGGACTTGGAATTAGAAAAAACCGATCCAAATCGAATTGAATTGAATTATATGGTTGAATGTGATTCTTATCATTTTGGACTTCTGTTTTTTTGGGTTCAGTTTCTATAGTATTTGTACGGTTCGGTTTCGATTCCTAGGTAGAAACTAGGAACCGAACTTCATATACTTCGTACATTGAATGAGTAACCTTCATTAGAGGTGCTTTTGGGGTGGATTTTTAATGAATTTTTGCGAGTTTGTTTTTCATAAAGTATAGGTTGGGCCCTTTAAATTTGATCTTAAAATTCAATCGGGAAGTCAGTTAAATAAATTATAGAAAAACATTTCGCCAATATATATAAAAACGCAATGTTATTCAATACGGAGTAATTTATTTAAGTGCGATTAAATTTTAAGCTAAAATTTGATGAATATAATTTTACACTTCATGTAAGGCATGCTCACAAAACTTCATCCGAAAAAATCAAGCCAAACTCAAATAGTCAAATGAAAGTGCCAGACAGCGTTCCGGTCGGGAAATTTTTGTCACGAATATTTGTCTTGCATAATATACCTTATATATTACTCCGTATGAACCAAGCCAATTCGAGTAGTTGTTATTTTATTACTTTAGTCCACTTTTATATTTGTTGTTTGTAATTATATTTATTATTTGAGTTCACCTCAAAACGGAATTAATATTCTGTTGATTACGTTGTTATTTGTTCATAGTAAATTACTACTATTACCGCTTAGTTTTTTATTATGTACTATAAGAATACTAGTATCTTGGATCTATTGAACGTTTTTTCTTGTTAGTTGTTGCCAATTTTAAACATTTATGTTTTTGTTATGTTTAAAGTTAATGTTTGCACTTGGATATTTTTGTGACATTTGAACATTGGTATATCATGTATGTATAATGTAATGGTTATAATTTCGACAATTATTGTAATGAATTGAAATTTGAATTTTATTTATGTAACTGGAAGTAAAATGTGTTTATTTTAGGAAGATAATAATTTTTTATAAGGAATCAAAAAGAGGTATGTAAGAACCGAACCAAATTTAACTAGAAACGAACCAAATTTAACAACTACATTTTTTCTAGAACCGAATCGAATTTATGATGTTTCTACTTAGACTGTTTTCAATCCCAGACCAGACCAGACCAAACATAATCAGACCAGACCAGACTAGTAAATTAGAATCCAAGTAAAAACATTTAACTTCTACAATTTTTAATACGATTCCATCGAATTTTAATCCGAATCCAACCAATCTCAGACCTAGAAAAACTTTGATTCATGTGGTCTTATTTAAAGGGAAAATGGAAACTAATAATCCAACCTTTTAGCGGTCTTCTTTTAATAGTCTGACCTTTGCGTTATTCATGAATAATCCAACCTTTGCACCTCATCTTCATTCATTGGTCCCCGACCGGTACATGACCTGCTATTCCGAGTTATTTTCTTATCTTTGCAAACTATTATACCATTAATTTCACCTTTCACAAAGATAATATTTTACAAAGATAAGAAAATAACTCGGAATATCATGTCATCAACCGGTCAGGGACCAGTGAATGAAGATGAGGTGCAAAGGTTGGATTATTCATGAATAACGAAAATGTGGGACTATTAAAAGAAGACCGCTAAAAGGTTGGATTATTAGTTTCCATTTTCCCTATTTTAAATCCCAACTTGTGGCCCGTGAAATAAGTCCACAGTCCAGTCCAATCCGATCTATCTATCTTCAGTCCTCGACAAGTAGTCCCTACTAGCGACCAGCAAAACCCTAGCAACCCCAACGGCCTCCGTGACTCTATCTCGGTGTGCCATTGAGGTTTGTCTGAGCAACCAGCGTTAGAAAATGGCGACCAGCGATCAAACGGTGCTTCAGTTTTCGTCTCCTTCTGCAACAACCCTGTCCGCTCGGGTTCACCCGCTCGTGATATTCAACATTTGTGACTGCTATGTTCGTCGACCGGACCAAGCAGAAAGAGTAATCGGTACTCTGCTGGGATCAGTGTTATCCGACGGAACCGTCGATATTCGCAATTCCTATGCCGTTCCTCATAGTGAGTCACAAGATCAGGTTCGCATCTTTTGAAGTTTTCTTAATTTTATCTGATTCTCAAGAGATGCATTAGATTAAAAAACCACTGCTTTTTATACAAAAAAGCATTGGCACTGATGCTTAGATAGAGAGACCTTCACCTTCAGTATTGTTCCCATGTTATGGAAGGAACCTAAGAAAGCTGGAAATGTTCATATAAAATCTTGTCAAGATAAATTTATTCATAATAATGCCAACAAATAAATATAACTTCTCGGATGAATTAACCCTTAACTATGCTGTGGTTCATACTTTGAGCATTGTAGTTGGGATATCATGAATTTAGAATGGATTATTGTAGTATTATTAATTAATTCACTTCCTTAAGGTTCTCTGTCTATCAAAACAGCCTATTAATGTGGTCAGGACAGAGATAGGGACTTGATTAATGTTTATTTTAGTTCTCTTTTAGTATTTCTTAAACTTTCTTTTGTACATATGACCAAGTCGTTATTGGGAAGAACTTATCAGCTCAAATGATTGATTTTAGAAGTTAATATGTGTTTTAGGTTGCCTTGGATATTGATTATCATCATAACATGCTGGCATCCCATCAGAAGGTGAATCCAAAGGAAGTCATTGTTGGCTGGTGATTCTCTATGTCCTTTTTCATGTGCTAGTTAGTTGTCACCTGTGGCATTCACAGACTTATGTCATATTCTTCTTTCTGATTAATGTCTCTTTCATTATTGTTTTCCTAGGCTTTTCACTTTTGTCTTCTTAATCATACCGTGCTGCTAATCATTGAGAATTTAACTGCTGAAAACTTAATTCCATCCTCTCTGGATTGTTAGGTTTTCCACTGGATTTGGAGTTTCAGGCGGAAGTGCTCTAATCCATGAATTTTACTCTAGAGAAGTATCAAATCCTGTACATTTGACTGTTGACACAGGATTTAAAAATGGAGAGGCGTCCATCAAAGCTTTTATTTCTGTGAATTTGACTCTAGGGGATCAACCCATTGCCGCAGAGTTCCAGGAAATTCCATTGGACTTGCGTATGATTGAAGCTGAGCGGGTTGGATGTATGTATCTACTAGAAATCTTGAGCCTTCCCAACCTAAACACAACTCCCTCCATCCTAGCTTAAGCTTCTCATGTGCCTCTTTTGTACGTTCCAGTTAAAGATTCTCATTTCTTTTTTAGGAAATAACTAGCACTCTAAAATGACAATTTAATCATTAAATATTAAAAAATAGTACACCTATAACATCACAGTTATCTTCAATGACATTATTATATTATATACTTATCAAAACTACTTCTCAAAGTATACTTGAATAACCTTATTTAATTATTGTCTAAATAGTCATGCCATTTTTCAATGAGAAGCTTAAATCGGGACAGAGGTAGTATTTCTTATGAGCTTATGTATTCCTATGTAAGCTTGTTTATATGAAATAATTAAGATAGTTGATGTAACTCTTGATGATGTGGGCCATGTTTACGGGAAGATTAGTTCTTGTATGCTAATTGTCTAAGCCCATTTACTTTGTTTATTGGCCTTTTAATGAATCTGGATGTGAACCATTCAAGTTATTTTTTTTGTATTCCTGATAATAGAAATTCTTATCAAAGTTTATTTGCATGATCAGTTGATATACTGAAGAAAACAGCCGTTGACAAACTTCCTAATGACCTAGAAGGAATGGAGGCATCAATGGAGCGATTGCTTGTTCTAATTAATGATGTTCACAAATATGTTGATGACGTTGTGGTAACATCATCATACTTTTTTGTTGGAACTTCCGAGCACATTCTTATAAACTCAAGCTCTTAACATCTGTTGTTTTAATTTTTCTTCCTTTTTAGGAAGGCCGTATTCCACCAGACAATAACCTTGGAAGGCTTTTGTCTGAGACTGTAAACACCATTCCAAAATTATCACCACCAGAATTTGATAAGCTTGTGAATGATGGTCTTCAGGTTTGTAATCTCCAGAACCCCATTCTTATTGCTCAAAGGACCTGGTTAAGTTTTATAAATGCACATATTAATTAAATTTCTAAAACATAATATTTAATTCTCAAAATTGCACAAGCTTCTATTGTTTATTAATCTCGCTCTTGTTTAACATTAACTATTCCGTATTGTGTATTGCTGGTATCTTTTAACCTATATGATGAATTACACACATCTGGATTCTAGATGACTGAAAAATGTCTTCTTTTAAACTTGTGACATTTCAAGGCTACCATTGTTTATTTAGTTTCTTTCATTTGACCCGTGCTTAACTGGTAATTGTATTCCCTTGCCAGGATCAATTGCTATTACTATATCTATCGAGCATCACTAGAACACAACTTAGCTTGGCGGAAAAGTTGAACACTGCTGCTCAGATCCTGTAGCTCTAAAGTCGACCTTTTGCAAGTCACGCCAGTTGTTACACATTTGGTTTCTTATGGGTCTGTTAGCCCACCAATGGCTGTTAGTTTTGAGATTATATAGTTTGATATTATTCATTTTTCTTTTTCATGATATTTTTCCCTTGTTTTTGTAAACATTGGCTGCGATCAGCCCCCCAATTTTATTGTTGCAGCTTTTATGTCCATCAGTCCATGCCTCCATGGTAAAGGACTTGATGTGAATGAAACCCGAAAAAGGATCTAACGATTCTAACTTGACTGTTTATCTCTACATTCCAAATGATAATACGCCCTGTTTGCTCTAATTACGTATGCCGAGTGCTGACTGCTGAAGCTGATGGATTATAATTTCACCCATTTCGCAAATTGCTACGCATACACTTTTGCTATCCGGGCTTATTTTTGTACATTTTGTTATCAAATGCTTCCTGTTTTTTTACCATCTGGCATCTACCCAAGAATTAAAGCATTGATTTATATTTGGGGAATTTGATGCTAGTAATCCCCAACTGTAGTTGATCTACTTCTAAAAAAGTCAAGTTTTCCTTGATTACTCAACTTTAAACATTGTTGTTTTACTCTTACCTCTACTTAATAAATGTGCTAAAAAATTATTAGTAGTTTTGGGCGGTGGGAATAAAACTATTACTCCCTTTGTCTCAAAAAAAATTCAAATGTATGATTGAGATTTGTCTCAAAAAACTATTACTCACCTGGAGTGTCTTTTTTTTTTTTTTTGGATGAAATGTAAATATATATTAGCACCCAAAAGAGATTGTACATCAAAAAAGAACCAAATTCAAGATCTCCTAAAACCTCCCCCATTACATAGGAGAGGTTTTAATTCGATCTATTCCTAAATAAAATCAAAGGCCTGAGAAGCAAAAGAGTATTGGTGCTGCTAGTAAGCACGCACACAGATCAACATATATCAATCAAAAACAAAAAATGGCCCTAAGATGAAGGGGGCCTGGGCATCCACAATGCAAAGATATGGAACCATGCCCTCCTCTCTCGGACCCTTTGGGATGTCCACCAAAAGAAAGATACACTCTGGGTACGTTGGGTTAATGGAGTCTATCTCAAAGGCAGAAATGTGTGGGAGTTTGTCCCACATGCCCGCGACTCCCAGCTAATGAAACGATTAGGTCTCATTCGAGACAAAATTCGTGGCTGTTTCAATAGTTTGAATGACATGATACTCGGCCTGAATGCCCGTTCTTCGAATGGAAAATTAACCTCCGCAAAAATCTATGATTTATTGAGAGTTAAGGGTAATGTTAGGACTCCTATGAGTTTCATATGGAAATCCTACATTCCCCCCAAATTATCTTTTAATGTATGGTTGGCTTTAAGAAACCGGCTTCCTACTCAGGATAGCCTTGGGTATTTACACATTGTGAATAGGTGTGACCTTTGTAAGGGTGGTTTGGAAACAATACCACACCTTTTTTTCCTATGCCCCTTTACGTGTAGGGTGTGGCAGCATGTAAGGAGTTGGATGGGACTTAAACACGACATGACAACATTGCTAAGTGCCATTAAATGGATCACGAAAACGCACAAAGGATCCAGGGTGAAGGCAAAAGCAGTCCGACTAGCCTTTTGCGCCGCCGTATACTATATTTGGCATGCTAGGAACGCTTGTAGATTTGATGGAAGCACGAAGAAGGAAGAGGAGATCATCGCGAAGATAAAGCATGTGGTATATAAGATAATTTACTCTATATACCCACATGATTTCATTAGCTTTTGAGGGGCAGAGGTTTTGCATAAGGGGTGTGGACTCGCTTTGGAAATTATCTCACCTGGAGTGTCTTGACTCTTGAGGATGGGGGATACCAAACATACTTGCCGAATATGTAATTAAAAAATTTGAAGCTTTTTTGTCGGATTATCATCCTGATCTTCCTTTTAACTTTATATATGTGCCTTTTACAGACTTATTTAATTATTTTTATAATTAGATGACACTTTCAAATTTTAATCATTAACAAACGTGTTGAATTTTTCTTCTCATTAAATTGCCTTTTGCATCTTCAATGAATGATACTCCATCCGTTCTCTAATAGATGAGAGTATAGAGTTTGACACAAGTTTTAAGGAAAAAGTAATAGGGGTAGTGTAAAAAGGTGTAGTGAGTTTGTGTTTGAATGAAAAAGTAGGAAAGAGAATGAAAAGTAGGAAAGAGAATGAAGGTATATAAGTATATTTATTGAAAAAACTTTCCAAAAATGAAAAGAGAGACAAATATTCACGAACAAATCAAAATAGAAAGTGAGACATCTATTAGAGAACAGAGGGAGTATTGTTTTGTAATGCAAAGGGCGTATTGTTGACTGCCCAGTTTGGACTCCTCACCTTAAATAGAAGGTTAGTGTTATGGGGATACAAGGTATCACCATGTTCCCAAATAACAAGGGAATACATATTGAATGTTGCTCTAGTGTATGTTATCGAAAACTACTTTGCTGGAGAACAAGGTTGTTTGTTGTCTTGATTGATTTTTCATTTTACTAATAACTCCTTTGCTGGAGAACGAGGTTGTTTGTTGTCTTCATTGATTTTTCATTTTACTAATTTATCTAATTAAATTTGATAGTTTTAGACTACAAATAATTATATGATTAGTTAGATCATGTATTTTTATATACTAGTTAATCTTTACTCTATTTTAATTTTATCTAAATGTAAAATTGTTTTTATATATGACTCTTCCCCTTCCCTCTCCTCCGAAATTCCCTAACCAAACTGACCCTAAGAGTCTCTCTAGCAAACTCCAAGCATGCCACAAACCCTAGCCAATTATCTTCTTCAAAGAGATTCAAGCTTCATTAATGATTTTCATGATTATCTTGTTAATGTAATCCTACACATATATGAATGAAAGAGCTCCAGTTTGGCTTTGCTAAGTGTAAAAAGTCCCACGATTTTCTCTCAAGATGTGCAAAATGCTCATGCTCTTCTGTTTTTATGTACATATCTTCATCCATAGTTCTGACCAAGACCGGTGTTCTTGGGCTACCCGTGTTGTATTTAAACTAACACCTCCTCATTGAAGATCTTTTTATATCTTTGAAGTACTTTAATTAAATGATTGAACTACTATTTCTTCCTACAAATATAAATTGAAAATAAGAAAATGTGACTTTAACTATAATGAATTAATGACAATTAACTATATATATAAAATAGATATTATTAAGTAGAGAAGTAGATATTATTATGTATTAAGTATATAGTAATAGTTTATAAAGTATATTTAATACTTTATTATATAAAGTAGATGTAGTATGTATGTATGTATTAAGAAATATAAGTAGAGATTAAGTAGATAAGAAATATAAGTAATATAGTATATGTATTTATAAGTAGATAATTAATATATAAATAGATATAATAATTGTATAAATATTAAATAGTAAAATAAAATATAAAGGAGAATAAGAGAATTTGAGAAGATGAATATGGAGAATTGGAGATGAGTAGAGAGTAGGATTTAGGGAGAGTTGGAGAAGAGGTGTGAAAAAATGTTTAAAATTAGGAGTATTTTAGTAAAAACTAAAATGTTAAGTACTTTAATTAAGAGATTTGTTAATGATACTACCGGTTACGATAGTTGTTATTATTAACTTTGTGGAGTGACCGAGTGAGTGTGCAATATATTAAGAGATTTGTAAGGTATAATGGACAATTAAAGCTAATTCCTTTTTTTTGGACATGAAATAAATGTCATTCTTTAGTGTCTATATCAACATAATCATTATCTTCTTCTTGCTCACTCTTGGGCTAACAAATATTAGGAACTTGTGTGCACAACCTCATAGTAGCTATTTTATCTAGAGGATTGGCATACACAAGTAGGATTTTCATTTTGTATGATGACATATCGCTCATAAGACAAAGCCTTTAGTTTGCCATGTTTTTCCTTCTTTTTCATTGACCACTCGGTCTAAATTTATTAGACAATCTTAGAGAATGCTTCCTAATCATGTACAATAATAGCCTAGTTGTGTTTTAATATACTTATATACTCAATGGAACTCTAATGTAGTATGAACTCTTATTTACTACGTATTCTATATATAAGCTATTCAATGTCATCAGTTGGGCAGTTTGATTAATAATTTCACATGGTATCAGAGCATAGGCAAATATCCTAGAAACTTCTTTATGTTGACTGTATCCTCCTCTATTTAGCTGCCCACTGCGACGGCTACCATGGTGGCAGCGTCTCATATGTCAATGTCTTTTGTTATCAAGGTGCCTTTTCTTCCCAACAATATCAAGCTACATGACAAGACTGAACAATATGTTCACGCTTCCTACCTTATCTTTCACCAATCTATAATGATTCATATGATATGTTATTCACAGTATGTTTAAGATAGTGAGAATATGTTTTATAATGAAAGCTTTGTCATGTCTTTGGTTTTTTACTCCATCCATAAACCATAAAATGCAATAATTTTTTTTTTCTTCATAAAAATAAAGCTCTTACGAAGAAAGAATATTGAGCGACCAATGTTGTCACGTTTTGACACATATAACGCTATGTAAAACACTACCATAGAAACTAAGTTTCTAACCTGGAACATAAAGAAGATTGGGTCTTTGGCATAAAAAGATGCCATTAATAATACTCTTTCTTCTGTAATAGCATTTCAGCTATCAGAAAACATGTGCCGGATGTTCCATCCTCTCAGCAGATAACGTCTGTTGCAGCTCCACACGGACCACACCTAGGCCGAAGGGATCACCCTTTTGCTTCATTTTGAGGGCATCCAGTGTATTCTTTTTCCCTCATTAGGATATTTTCCCACGGGGTTTTTCCTAGTGAGGTTTTTAACAAGCCTCCTTTCCCTCTCTCCTCTTATGCCTATGCCCAGGAAGCATCTTGGGTTCGCCATTGCTTTCTTGAGGAGGGAAGGCCCCTCTTTCTTGAACTGAATTGTTCTTGAAGAAGTTCTTGCACCTTCATTCTTTGATTTCAAGATTTCACAGTTCAATTCAGATATAACAAGCGTCGGAAGCTCCACTGCCTGGTCTTGAACATCAACAAAGTATTCGTTGGAATCTGAATAAGAGTCTTCCGCCTTGGTATTCTCTCTCATTAGCCTAATCCAACGGGCCCGTTCTTTAGCGCCGTCCCTTGTTGGGCCGCGGTGGCATCCGGCCTGGATGCGGCTGCCAACGGCGCAGACATGTGGAGTTACTTTTCATCCCAAAGACATGGAGTTGCTTTTCAAATTCAAGCAAGATACACTGTAAATGATCTTCTGTAAATGATGATACTAGTAATAGTAAGTTTAAACTTAAAAGGTAACATGATAGGAGTAGCCCAAAGTCTTATA